TGTCTTCTCTACGTATTCGTACAAGAGAAAGACAAAGACCCACTGAATTCAGAGGGCCTTTGTGCCCTCGGCAGTAACGGTTGGTCAAAAACCCAGTGTCTTAGTTATCTACTGCTGCTATAACAGAAATACCATAAATGGTTGGCTTTAACAAACAGAAATTTATTTTCTCGATGTTTAGGAGGCTAGATGTCCGAATTCAGGGCATTGGTTCTAGGGAAAGACTTTCTTTCTCTGTCGGCTCTGGAGGAAGGTCCTTGTCTGTTTCGAGCTTCTGTTCCTGGGTGATCTTCATGTGGCTTAGCATCTCTCTTCTCCCATCTCCTTCGCTTGCTTATTTAACCTCTTTTATATCTCAAAAGAGATCAACTCACGATACACCCTACACTAATCCTGCCTCATTAACATAATAAAGACAACTCATTCCCAAATGGGATTATAACCACAAACTTAGAGGTTAGGATTTATAACACATATTTTTTGGGGACACGATTCAATTCATAACACCCAGATTTATTATAATCTTAAAGACGAAACTGATGTTCTCTTATTGCTTTATACCATTATGTGATATATATTTACAATATTTGTGCTCGGATTTCTGAAGCAGACTCTATGAAAAATGTCATGGATATAGTCAGTAAAACCTTTCAGTATACCTGTGCAAATGATTCGAATCATCAGCAGTATACGGAAATATTGAAAAAATAGAAAGCAATGAAAATAATGATCTTGTGTTCTTTGCGAAAGTTAATTGGTTGAGCCATGGAAGAGTTTTTAAACATTTACTGCAGTGTAAACGTCAATATTTTTCTGAAACAAAAGGAATGCTAGCCAAATACTCAATAATCAAAGACAAAAAATAGCAGACACGTTCTTTCAACAGTATCATACTGCATATTAACAAGCTAAATTTGAAGCTCCAAAGAAAAAGGATAAACTTATTTGTGATCAAGCTACATAAACCCATTGCCCTCAAGTTGATTCTGACTCATAGAGACCCTACAGAGTAGAGTAGAACTGTTCCATAGGGTTTCCAAGGCTGCAAATCTTTACAGAAGGAAACTTTTCATAATATAAATCAATAATAATGATTTGATATATTTTCTAACATGTATGAATATGCATAAGGTTTCAATTGTAATTGACAGCATTATGTAAACTGACTGCACAAGTACAAGAAAAATGTGAAGGCTTTGTTGATACTGATAAATTTAGAGTTGTTTTTTGATTATGCAATACCCCACTGAATTCAATGTTATTAACACTGAGTTGATGCAAAAATTAGCAAGTTTACTTAACTTAGACAGATGCAGTTTTGCAACTGATGCTTTTGCTTCAAAGCCAAGTCAATTATTTGCCAGTGTGGATGTGAACGTTCAGGAAAATGATTCTTTGGTACTTGATTCAGCTATTGGAACATTTTCAAGTTTGTTTGGAGCAACTTAGGTATGTAAATTTCTTTTTTCAGCTGTAAATTTTATGAAATCTAAATACATATAAGATATTTTTGATGAAAACTTAGCATCTAAACTGAGATGTGCTGAGTGGAAAATACACATCAGATTATGAAGACTTAATATAAAAAGAAATGTAAAATATGTCATTAATAAATTTTTGTATTGATTACATGTTGAAATGATAATATTTTGGATATATATTGGGTTAAATAAAATATATTATTAACATTAATTTTACACATTTTTTATGTGGCTACTAGAAATTTTTTATTTATTTGTGGGTTGCATTATATTTCTATTGGATAGTATTGCCCCAGTATCTTAATGATACATTAACAAACAAAAACAAATTCAACTTTTTTGGTACAGGTACTAGAAAAAAATGCAGGAACTGTTTATTTTTTCCATTAACCTTCATTGGGAAATATTGCACATTTTAAAAATGTGAGTATAGTGTAGCATAGTAAGTAAATATCTGCAATGGAATTAATATGTATAATGACACATTTCAACGTTGTAGAAAAACAAGGGAGAAGATGTGATTCATGTGAAAATTAAGAAGCATCCTGCATAAAAGTGTGTTGTAAACTAGAGAGAATTTTATATACAATAAGTGACAGCAATTCAAGTTGAAATGGCTGTCTTCGTGCATTCATGTGCAGGACATGAAATACTCTGTCATATGACAATTTTGCAAACAGAGAAGAGAAACTTCGTTCTAAACACATACACTGGTTATGGTATTATTTACCAGCAATTATTCCCATGTGGTGAAATATAAATTTTTAAAAACAAGTTTAAGACCCATCTCTTTAGAATTTGCCTAAGGTTTACAGGAGCAGTGATTTTATACCTTCAAATCAAATACCAGAGAGTAAATAACTGGTATCTTCTCATTTAGTATTTGTCTGGAAGCAAAAAATAAAACAT